TTTTGCCCTAACACAGAGGTGATCTATGAGGAATGCCTTTTCTTCTACTGATCATACTTGTAGACATGTCCTCTTCTGGACTTATCTTATTAGATAATCTTCCACAGACATATAATCCAGTGCTTCTCTTCTTTTTGACATAATCAGTGCAAACAAAGCTGGTGTTTTCTGAGCCGTCTGATGAAGAATGCTGATTATCATGATCATCGGTTGCACTGTCGTCGACAATAGTAGAATGTTGGGTTTCGTATGTCATTTCATCATCTCCTATGTCTTGAGGGATAAAGAAATCTGGACTAAGTTGCAAAGTTTTGCAAACTCTTAGGAAAGGTGAGAGGCCCTCGTAGTGTCTAAGAACAAAATCAACCTGTCAAGAAATGCAAATATATCGCAAGTTTAGTATATTTCTGCTCGCGTGGATGGGTCTGGATTGTGTAATTTTACTCGAAGTGACGTACACAGTATTGTACAATATAATCGTCAGTACAACGAACAAAACTTTAACGACTACAAGTGAGTTATAAAGAGGCCATGATGAATGGGCACAATTAATGAAAAAGTGTAAGCTTTGCTGCTATTGAAGCAAAGGATGGGAAAACGGAGTCAATGTTATCTAATTCTCTCTATCAAACATGCACGCGAGTCATGAACGATGTACAATTATGAAAACTGGGCTTATATGTGTTGGTGTTGACAATTATTGATAACTCCTTCGTGGATGTTGATCAACAATTCGAATCATTATAGGTTAATTTGTTGCATCATTTTGTCAAAAAATTGAAAATTTTGAGAGGGAATAAATTTAATCATTGAAAAATTTAGGCCATTCTTCATCTAAAATTAATTAACATGCACACAATCCTTGTAAATAATTGGCGATTAGACTCAAGGATTAAGGTTTGATCTACCAACTCTCTAAAATTAAACTTTTATATTCAAATTTCGTTTGTAATTAACTAGTAAACTTTGCAAAAGGGTATGTAATATAGATCAAATATTGAAGAGGTTTTAATTACCTTGCAGCCTAGAGAGCAATGGATAAAGGGTTCTTGGAGGCTTCTATCACAGGAAGTGCAATAATTTCCAGACCCTTTAAACTGTCTGTTTTGTGGTCTTTTCTTGATAAACACCACTTTTGCAGCATTTATAGTGTAGGCCTGTTACAAGAAATATGATTTTTATTTCATTTTTAATCAAATAAAAAGCACGCAGCCAAAATTATTTTTTTCTAGCAAGAACAACTATATAACCTGAATATTCGAGCAGTCAATAAGCCTCTCCAGATCTTCTAATCGAACGACTTCGTGATACACATAACGTCGAATTTGCAGAAGTCTATGGCAGCGATGAGAAAGAACGCAATGGGGGCAGATACTTGTGCAACAATCCAAGCAGCAAATATTTTTCTCATTTTTCTTGGCAGTTTCATGAATTGAGCAAGGCACGAAAAAATTCTGCACGTAGAGAGCCTTCAACCATGCAGGCTTCTGATTTCCCTGATCACAGAATATTATCAAAGCCCAATTCAGATCAAAAAATAGAGAAAAGAAAAACTAAGAATTTGATCCCAAAAAAACCTACCATGCTTGTCTACACGAAATGATCGATGGTTATCAAGACAGAGTATGGCTAGTCTTATAAAAGAAGAATTCGACCCAATCCTGGTTGATCCCGTCTTGAGAAAGAGAGGAATTGGGGTATGGATTGTAGGGCATTTATGGAGCGTCACAAGAGAGGGAAGGAAATATATTTATTCTTTAGGTACGCACAACATTTTGTCAATAGGGTCACTTGTTATTTGGTGTGAGGCTGCATATGTGTGTGTGTCAGAAAGAAAGAGAGAGGAGTGAATATATTTATTCCTGGGCTTAATACACAACATTTTGTCAATACGGTCACTTGTTATTTGGTGTGTGGTTGCTTTTGTGTGTGTGTGTGTGTGTGTGTGTGTGTGTGTGTCGAAGATAAAATTATGAATGTGTTGAATTTTCTGAGAACTAATGTATTTAATCAGCAATTTTCGTTTGAAAGTCCAAAACAACTCATTGCATATACATAAATAGCTTGAGCTATAGCTTTCAAAAAGGATTTCGGGGATAGTTACTAGAAGTCTGTGGCAAGAATTTCTTATTCGAACTTGATGGTTTAACCGGCTATGAATGAGGAGGATCATCGATCTTCTATATATGTACTAGTTCTTGTCGATGTTGGGCATCATTAATAATGAAATCGCTTTTTCCAATTCTAGATATGCGAAATTCCCTCTTTGATCTCAAAGTTTTGCCATCGCTTATTTACGAAAATTATGTTCGTATTAAGTTTATGAGAAATAATGAATTTAATTTGCACTGAGAACATGTTAAAAATGGAATTTAAATAAATGTAATAACTTAAATTTTTAGATAAATTGATTTTAATGGTACTTTAGAGAGAACCAAGTGTGTGTGAGAGAGAGAGATGATTAACTATCTAAAAAAAAAAAAGAGCAAGAAGGTAGTGGAAGAACGTGGGCGCTGTTCCCATGTCTCCATATATAGAATTAAACCCACTCCTTATTACACTTTAAACTAATTTTGTCATCTCCTAGTGTTAAGAGCTTCAACCCTAAACTAATTTACTTCTTCTTGAAATGGCTGCCACCACCAACTTTTAATATTTAAACAATAAATTTTAATGAAACGGTGTATCGCTCTCTTGAAGGAGATTCAAGAACTCTGAAAATTTTGTATGATTTAAAAAAATTGATGAAATAAAAATTTCATAATTCGTCTCATAAAAGCACTATAGTCTAAACATTGATCTCAAACCTCCAAGATAAGAACAATTTTTTTGGCCTGAAAATATACTCATAAAAAGACAATAATATCATGGGTAGGTAAGAATGCACTGAGGATAAAAAATAATGTAGTCTATACATACAAATAGCACTCTTATGAACCAAATTTTCATTCATTTTGACTTATTCATGCTCTTGTAATCATTAACAACATGTTGAGTTTAAATATTCTTTTCTTCCCTAGCTAGGATTATGATGCAAATAGGTTTTGTAGAACTTAGGGTGAGTTTGATTGCAAGCATGGAATTAGCATTGAAAGAAAATAAATTCTAGATAATCCAATTGCCTAGAATTTATTTGTATGGAAATTGTTAATTAAATGTATTTGATTGGTTTAATTTTCAACCTAGAAAATATTATATTTGTTCATTTTTCATTAGTGGATTAATGAAAGAGAGTGGATAAATAAGAGAGAGTGAATTTCGTGGAAAATAAAATCCTACTCTTTCTAAAGAAAATATTTTCTTTGATTTTGAGAAAAATATGGTCATGTGACTAAAAGTGAGAAAATATTTTCATGAAAAAAATAGCAATCAAATAACACAAAAGTAGGAATTTGAGTAGAAAAAATACATTTTCCATGAAAAATATAGGCAATCAAACGCACTCTTATTTCAAACTAAGTCATTTCCATGCATACAAGAAAACCATTATAAAGAAATGGAAAAAGAAAAAAAGAAAAAAAAAAAAGCATGAAATATTCCAAAAAATTAAGATAGCAGAAAATGGAATGCAAAAGAAAAAATTGAAAAGAAAAGAAAAGAAAACACAAAATATTGGGAACTCGGGAAGAATATATATATATAGAAAGTTTAAGTTACTAGAAAGAAAATAAGTGTATTTATTTAAACGTTATATTTTGAACGTCTCTTCGTCGTTCAAAAACATTTCCAAATGAATTGCATCAATTATGTACATAGACAAGACAAGTACGAGGAAACTCGGTTTCTGGGATTTAAAGATGACAACAATCCAAAAACCACTCCCACTACTGGAAAACTGTGCTTAAATAATGGAACACTGTTGGCTATAAGCTAATTTCACAGACAAATACAAGTCATTGAGCACTACTAAATAGGGACATTAATGGGCTAATTTATTTTTAATTCTCATTCCCAATTTTGAGGGCACCTTTTTCTTGTACCTTTAACCATGGGGTAATCTTGGAGCTCGACTATCTCAGCCCTCTTAACCTACCATCAACTTTACGTATATTCATAGACTTTATAAAATTTAAACTTTTAAACGATACGATACAACATTATATAAGAGGAAATGGAAATTGTAAGTTCAAATCTCAATTCTCAAGTTTAAGTATTATCTCCATTAGTTCATGAAGAATTCGAACAGAAGGCATCTAACGAGAAAAAAGAATTAAAAAAAAAAAACATTTAACGAAAAAAATGAATCTAACAAAAGCAAAAATATATTATACAGTAAAATTTTCCAAAAATATTGACAACTTTTCTCTATGAAATAAATTTGAGATAATAGCCCAAATGATCATTGAACTTTACGAAAAGTTGTCAAGGGGTTACTGAACTTTAAAAATTATCCAAATCATCACTGAAATTTACAAAATGTTTCCACGAGATTACTGAACAAGGTGATTTTTAAGGTTCAATGATCCTGTGAAAACCTTTTACAAAGTTCAGTGATGATTTGGATGATTTTTAAAGTTCAGTAATTCTGTGAAAACTTTTTACAAAGATCAGTGATTATTTGGGTTATTATCTCAATAAATTTAAAAGCCTACAGTCAATTCTTTACAATTTAAAATCTAAAATTTCAATTTTTGTTTCGACATTAACAATTTATATGAATTTTTTTCCTTTAAAAATTTGCATTTCTAACATTGAATTACGTAAATTCTTGAAATAATTTTATTTAAAAAGATTATCTAGTTCGAAATACAAAATGACTGGGGTATCCCTTTGCCACTTCTTTCATTTTTTTTTTATAGCAAATGAAATTCACTAGTAATAACAATAAAAGAAACCTTTATATTAGAATCGAAGTACTAATAATTTTAATTTGTTCACATTTTTTTAAAAGGTTTTGGATAATTATCCTTTTTTTTAAATAATTATGAATAAATATTTGGTACGTTAAACTAAATAATACTGATTAAATAGGTTAATTTACAATACAATAGTTAGTAATTTTTCGTCTAATATACAAATCTAGCTCTTGTTAATTCCAAAATTGAAGTTTATTATTCATTAAATTCAAGATAACCTTGTAAAATACAAGAGGAAAGTGTCCATTTCCATGTGACAAATGGAGTGACGTTGGCATTTTTACCATTGGAGTAATGAATCTCACGTGCAAAGGATCCAATGGACCGACTACCACATATATTTATATGTATACGTGAACAAATTTGTCTAGTTCCTTGGACTTGCACGCATGTTCTTCACTTTAAAAAACTAGATTCTAAATTTTTTTAATGCAAATAATTTTTTATTTTGATTGTTTAATCCACGCTCTCTTGTTGTTGAATTGTGTAGCATTGAATAATTTTGAATACATACCTAATATTTTAAGATAAATAGATTTAAAATTTCAAACTTTTTTACAATTGAAGTCTTGATCGAGTATTTGGTGGTCGAACTCTTATTCTTTGCGAGTACTTTCATTAATTCAACTTCGACTTTTAAGATTGTTCGAATATTGATTCTCATTCTCTACTAATACTCTCATTGAATCAACTTCGAATTCTATGTTATACAAATCTTGATATTTGGGCATCAAATTCTCGTTGTCTACTAATACTTTCATTGATTCAACTTCCACTTTTATGATTGTAGGAATTTTGATATTTGGTCGAACTCTCCTCTCTACTAATACTTTCATCAATTTGACTTTGACTTTTGAGAATTTATGAATCTTGATTTCTTCATGCTAGAAGAGAAGTAGCGAATTTTAATTCCACGACATTCGATTTCTTCTCATATGTGTTTGTCCATCATTTTTTCACCATCGCTGAAGATGTTTATCCATAGCACAACTTGACATGTAAATTTATCGATTCTCAAGCTAGACTTTTAATGATTTGTTCATCATCATAAGAGCTTAAACTCAGTAGATGATCCCACCTAACCTAGGGTCCTCTCTTGATATACATTCTTATACATGTAAGTATGTACATCTACACATATATGTATATGTGTACGAGTATATATATATATATATAATAGAGAAATGATCTAATAAGCACCGATACTCATCTTATACTAAGCAGTGGTGATGTGTCATATTAATTTATTGATGAATAAAGATTTTGTGAATTCTAACATTTGAATTAAATTTATTATCCATCAATAAATTAATATGTGTGTATGAGATGAGCACCAGTGCTTATTAAATCATTTCTCAAAAATAATATATTTGTGTATGGTCAAAGATACTGTAGGGGTGGAGGATGAGCGTGAGGCGCACGAGGGGATCTCTCAAAGTCTCTGATTATCTCTGAGACAAAGAGCATTTTGATGAGTTCAAAGCCTCCAGAGTCCACATGGGGCTGGCTCATACTTCCACAATACTATTAAGGACTCAATCATGTGATCACACACCATTTGGAAATTTATCTTAACAAAAGGAAGGACAAGGGGACACATTTTTAGAGATTGTTAAACATATATTTATATATTTTTTTCAATAATTAAATAGACATCTTTTGAATTTTTTTTTTTTTTTTGTCTCATTTAACAATACATATTTAAGGTAGTTGCAAAATATAATTTCAAAATTCAAAAATCGGTTCATAATTAAATTTTATTAATTAAATAAATAATAAAAAATTTACTAATTAAATTATTAAGGTCACAACATTATATAGTTTATTATCACAATTACGTACTTATAGATCACAACTTATTTATCTGTTACAAATTATCAAATTAATTGGGCCCGCATTATTTTTCAACCACAAATCAGAATTTTAAACATCAGAATTTATTTATCGATCATAAATTCTCAAATT